GCTGATTTGCTTCACGACGACGCAGCGCGGACGAAGCGGTCGAACGAGATTCCGGGCGGAGGACCGCCGCGCACGGCAGCGTGGTTGGCTTTAACGTCTACCCGAAAGGGTAGACAAGTTAGTCAAACTTGAAGCAAACGGAGCAAGGTGGATATATTCACCGTATTTCTTCTGGACGAGATCGAGAAGAGGCGGGGATAGTTGGTAGCTATAAACAGTCCGTTAGACTGAATGGGTGGGGGACAAATGGGGGTCGCACCCAAACTGGGCTAAGGCATCTCGCAGCTCGGCTCCATCAATGGAACCAGAGCGATCCCGGTCGAAATGTCTAAAGACGTTTTGCCAATCCTATTGGATGTTTAGATGGCTATCAGCCAAGCAGAACAGGGCAAGACCGACTTTGATGTATTTCCACAGGCCAGAGAACTGAGAGAATAACAATCAGCTGCCTGCAGGATTCACGATGTGCGGTGCCAACCTCATTGAACCCAATGGTTCCGCTCCGGTCGGTATCCTAAATTTGCGGCGACCATTATAAATATTATCAAACGCGGGGGAGGATAATGGGGATTCGCACGAAAATAGTCATCAAAAGCTTAACGGTATCAAGATCGAATGCTACCGCCCTCGAAATCAGCGGAATGTGATAAGGGCACGCAAAAACAACTCACGCGTCCAATCGCCATTGATTAAAGCCCTCTCTAGCGCACACAATGAAGATCGCCAATTACACAAAACACTGCGCACGTACCAAGTTCGGGGGCCGTGATCGCACCAGAGCGGTCGACATCAACTGCAGTGAACCAGCTCCACAATCTTAAATGACGATTCATCAGGGTTTAGCGATAGCAAGCGCCTAAACTTGCACGCACTGGGGGTCTGCGCCAGGCGGTGCGGCACGGGCAGCAGTGGGGGGTGCAAAGCCTCCGCCGTATCCCTAGGAAGTTGAATTCCGGATCCTGAACAAGGATGCGAGAAAACTCACAGGGGGTCCGCCTTGGGGAGGTCCGTACCCTCCATGGGGTGGTGGTGCATATCCTCCGCCGTGGGGGGCCCCATGAGGGGGCGGTGCTCCGTGAGGGGGTGGTGCTCCATAGTGCTATTCAATACCAAACGTTGTCTGAGCTAGCCAGCTGAACACAGGATGGAACGTACGCCGTAAGACATGTTGGATGAGGGGCGAAAACGCTGGGTTAACAAAAGAAGTGGTTGATTCGAAAGGATTATATAACTCCAACAAGACACAGCACCTGATTATAAGGCGGTGTGACCCAGTGCGAATCTTATCATGATGGATGATTCAGAATCCAGATAACACGGTCTCGGCTATTCCCGCTCCACTAGCGCCCAAGCTCAAGTCTCGAGTATGGTGTCCCGCAAAATGAATAACCAATAATGCTACAAATGCAATCCACGAGACCAGAATAATGGGGAGGCTACAATAATCAAAATAACATACACACCGCCCCCCGTCATCCGCTACCCCACTCACGCACTTGCCGCAACAACCGGAGGCAGCATTTGTTGTTGCGGCTGCTGCCCTGGGTCTTGTTGCTGTGCCAGTCCCTGTCCTTGCAATGCCATCGCATCTGCCAGCTTCTTCTTCCTCCCGTTGCCCGTCCCAACCCCAGTTCCTCCCTTCTTCTTTTTGGGCGTAGCGCCATCCACCGCCCCCGGCATCCCTGCCGCTGCCGCCGCCGCTGCTGCTTTCGCTTTCTTCTTCGAACCACCGGATGGGCCACCCTTGATAATCTGCCCCAATGGACCCATCTTGATTTGCACAAGGCTGGGTGCGTCGTCGGACAGAGAAAGGGTTGGGGGTATTTTGGGCTCGGGGGCGGAGCCGGTGGGGTAGCATAAGCTGGATGGCCAGGGGCGGATGGCGGTCCCGGGAGGGCCGGTGGGAAGGCTGGCGCAGCAGGGGTGCAATAGCGGAAATCCGAGATTGGTAGTATGGCTTGAGAAGGCCAATTTGATCCTCGATTTTTGCCGCAGTCAGTGGTATAAACGGAGGTGGTGGTGGGAATGGCGGGGGTGGCTCGGTCGGCTTTGCACTTTTGGATATACAGCAAATTAGATAGTGGTCAAAGATAGAGGATAAACCGACGCACGTTGCAGACGAAAACTTGTTCTGCCCTTCTTTCCCTTGAGCAGCTTCTTTGGAATGCTGAGACTGGACATCCCAAACTCTGCTGCAATTCCCAGCTCGCGGAGGCCCAGATAATCTTCGCCGAGGGCATCCGCAAAGTCGCCACTGAAAAACCGTTAGTTGGTCACTCAACCAAGAAGGGGTCAGAACACACATTGCCAAGGCCCCAGCGTCCTCCTCGTCCTCTTCATCAAAGAGGCCTTCATCATCCAACACCTCGGCAGCAGTCTGTCCACGCATGAGTACCCCATTGATCAGGGCGACGAAGCAAGATAAGCTCACAGATTCACGATAGGCGCTGACCAACTTCTTCTCCAAATCGCCCAAACGCGCCCCATACCGTTCGACATCATCCCGTATATAGCGCTCAAGGTCCTGTATCCTAGACGCGCCACTCTCAAAGAGGGTGTGTAGAATAATTTCCTAGAATTCGAAGAATAAGAATAGCTCCTACAAAATAGGAAACAACATGCCTCCGCAGTCATCGTGTTTGAATATTTATCAGCAAGGAACCGAATTGTCCGACCAACATTCAATAAATACTCTGATGTGACTCCAGCCAGCACATCCAAGGCTACCTTTGAGGTACCTAGGAATAAAAGTCATTCATGATCACAAGTTGATGGTCAATGACTGTCGCACCTTGAAACCCAGCATGCTCCAATACCTTCCCACCCATCCACCGCACACAATCTTCTGCATTTTCTTCACCGACCTCGCCTCGTGCCCTCCCCTTCCCCTTCCTCGTCGTCTCGATCCTCCAAGGTCTTTCATCAACTCTGTCATCATCAATCCCAACCAGGTCGTCATCCGCAGCCGCAGAGGCCAGTGGTCCACTCACGCCCCCAGCGCCAAACCCACTATCGATACCCCCTCCGCCTTCCGGATCGTCCGCGGACGTAGTATTCACGTTTAAAGCCGCAAACCTGGCGTGGGTATGTCGCACACGTTTCATGGTCTTGATATTGCCATTCATGATGCCAAGCAACGTCTTAGGTTCTGGTGTCGCTGCCTTCTTGTGCCCAGTAGCGCGCTTGGTTGACTTCCGGGGCGCGCGAGGCGTCGAGAAGGGGCGGAGTTGGCTAGAAGAGGCAAACGGAATTGCTGGGAGCCCATTTGGAAGGAGGGCATCGGACTGAGCGGCACCCCACCAGAGTTCTGTCAATTCGTCCTGTTCGGAAGGGAGTGGTATGGGATATTGTGAGGTCAAGCGCGTGCGTTTCCGGGGCCGGCATTCGGATATACCGTTTCTGAAATGCGATTGTTAATGAACAGAAAGTATCAAGGGCAGATGATGCACAGTTTTCGTTTATCACCAACAACACCATCCACCACCATTGACATATCCTCCGACGGCGAATCGTCTTCTACCGCAACAGAGGGATTCATTTGGTGCAATGCTTCCATGAGATTGAGGGCGGCGGGTGCGGACAACGCTCTGCGTGACGATGACGAAGACGACGCTACTGCGGTGGTATCGCGGTCCAGCTCCAAAAACCTGGACATGCCTTCTTGAGTCCTGAGCAACGCTGGCGTATCAGAAAATGGAACATCACGGCCGCGTGCAGCCTGCACCACCAGTGGTATCGACGGTTTTGCATGCGGTGTTGAAGACTTGGATAAACCGTTTGGAGCAGAAGGGGTACGTGTGTGGAACCTTGAGTAACCGTTTATCAGCCCATTTCCACCTCCATTTATCTTGGTTCGGGGCCTCGAGTTTCCAAGCTCTGGAGGGATGGATGGATCCGTGCGTTCCTTCCTGTCTGTGATATACTTCAAGAGGCGATCGGCTTTTACCTTGAGACGCTTGACACACTGGCGGAGAGGGTGATTCTGGGGTGCTTCAATTTACATCCCAGGACGGGCTTCAAGCGACGCACCTCGGTGGCATTGTAGGTATAACAATTTGACCAGATAAGCTCGAGATCATCCATGAATTCACGCTTGGACTTGTACTGCTTCTGCTTGACCTTTTTCAGCATCGTTTGAAAGTCCATGGCGTTCGATATGACTGCGTCATGGATGTGTGAAACTACCGGCCAGCTTAGATGGAGGACACACGCACCATCATAATAATCCGGAACCTCAGCCTTTGACACAGGCTTCAAAAATGCCTCCGCGTCGCGATTATCCTATATTACAGAATCCACAATTAACCGACATCCCGGGATCAAGAATATATGAGCAAGTTAAATATAACTTACTATAGTAATCGTCTTCAAATCAATAAGTAGACCCTCCAGCGAGTCGTAGAATGGGTCCGATAATTTGGCATCATATTGGCGCTAAATGCGATGGTATAACATCAGTCTTCCATACATGCGAGTCTCAATCGGTGGTGGCGTGACTTACCCGGCCTTCCTTGACAGTAGTGAGGAGGAGCTTGAGGTCAGAATCGGGGAAACTTGACTTGAAACGGCTCTCTGTCAATGTCCGAAGGAGGTTCTGCAACAAATGGAATCAGAATTTGGATGGATGCGTGGCTGGTAAACTCACATTCATCCTCTTGACCTCATGGATAACCTTTTGTGTCTGGTATAAGTTTCATTTCAGGCTCCGCTTCGACTCCAAGGGCATCACGTGGAAACAATGGATGCCGGACCGCCGGTTTCAATTATGGGCAGACCGAGCTCCCACGCCAGAAAGCCGTCGGGCGGCGGCACCGCTGCAGGACCTCAACTGGCCAACTCCATAGCTTGTGCCCGATCCCGGTCGCACCTTCCTCCTCACAGGCTAACATACTTTGCACAGGTATATATAAATTTAGCCGTGGGTTTACAGTTTATTCTTGATCAGAGCGTAAATGCGCCCGCCGAACCCACCTGATTTTCGATTCGGAACAAACAAAAAGTGGACGCACCCGGAATTGAACCGGGGACCGCCCGCATGCCTCCTTATGGGTGCTAAGCGGGCGTGATAACCAACTACACCATGTGCCCATGGTTGCTTGACCAATCTGTTCAATATGTTTGAGCCGATGGTGGAGGTTGGCCAAGGCATTCATAACTTTGCCATAGTCTCCCGTAGGCAGACCAAAAAAAAATAGATAGAAGACAATCGTTCTATCTATTTATTTTGCCACACCGCCAGCACCAACCCCCCGCACTGTCTATATTGTAACGAATTTGGATTCAACTTGAGGTCCTTGGGAGCTTTCATAGCCGTTTATTGGTGAAATGAGAGACTCTAAATATGTCTACGTAGTAAGTAACACCACGATCTTGTTCGATCCTGCTCAAAGGTGAACAAGCCAACCTTTTCGAGCAAGCTTACGCGAAACCTCCTGCCCGCACGCGGTTTTCAACGACATTTTCCCAATTCTTAACATGGACCCCTGGCGGGGCTCGCATTGTGGGCTTAACGGTGGGTCTTTCTTTTATGATCAGTAAATGCTTTCAGGAGAAGTCCTCATAGAGGCGATTGCCGACCATGAAAAAAACGGGGGGTAGTGGAAGAGGGTATGATCTAATTCGATTGAATACTACGAATCGTTCACATGTGCTACAGGCCTTCAAGAAGACCGAAATAATACAGGTGGCAGGTGCAATATCCAACACCCATGCCAATCTTTTGGGCGAGGGTCTGGCTACTGTGGAGAAATGGGGACGATCACACCCGAGAAGAGGTTATGGTGATTCTTTACATGCGTCGTAAATAACCGCTACAACTTCTTACTCGATCCAGACGAGAATACACCCCAGGGGCAGAGTGACTATCAAAGTTCGTCGACGCGGTTTTCAATCAACGACATCGATTGGAAACCGTGTCAACGAACTCCTTGATGGTTGCATCCACCTCCGCGACGAAGCCAATGAGTTAGTATCCAATTTTCATCATCATTCACACCTGGTCTAATGTTAGGGCCGCGCAAACAACTTTGTATCCAGTTTTTTTAATGAGCAGTCCGATGCGATTAGTAGGACGTTCCCGATGATTTCGTCGGGGTGCTGTTCGTGGCCATAGTATTGGCTGGGATATGTGTATAATTTATCCACCCAGTTAACAAACCACTGAATATTTTATGGATCCACAAGTGTCTTGATAAATGGTGAGGTGGCTCACTGGCGATGATCAAGTTTTCAGGTGTCGCTTACCGTTCTCCTCAATCTGCTTAAACTCAACTTCAGACACCCGACGCATATATGGATTCTGGAATGGCCGTATAGTGTGGTCTTGTAATAACAACCTTATACGATGTTTTCATGCTCCTCTGTGGCCGAACTACCCGGCGGGGGTAGATACCGTTAGAGTGGCCCCACATCATAGCATTGGCAGATTAATAGCTGCTCCCGGCTGGTTGTTGGCGGCACTATAGAGAAAAGATACAATTTCCATGGACATCTAGAGTTGTACGAACCCACTGCCTAGCTCTATGTTGCTCTATAGTATAGACATGATAAGGGTCCGTAGAGCACTCCATGGAACTTCATAGATCGGGCTGACACTGCTGAGTACAATAAAGAGGTCGACCCAATCCTATGGTTCTATTATACTATGGTACACTCCAGAGAACTCCCTAGCTCTCTCCTGGTACCACCTCGTTCGCTGATCGCTGACCACACTATACACATCGCGGAATCGAAGGCTCTCGCCGATTGAATGCAATCCGAGCCGCATTGCACTCGAACGTTCCAAGGCTTGAGGCAATTTCAACTAAACCGGCTGGCCGAATGTCAGATTTGAACAGGGCGAAGCTGGTAGGCGCGTCGCGATGAGAGCGGGTTTCGCATGGGAAGTAGATGACCGAAGAGTCCCATTCGCATTTGATTAAAGGGAAAGCTAGTTACGTTGCTTACTCCCTTCGCTCCTCGGTGTCAAGAATTCTCGGGGAAATCATGGTTAAATATTGGGGTGGAAAGGGATGGATACAATGCCTTCTGTTCGACACAGACAGGGAGTAATATCAACCATTCCGTCACTGATACGTCCGGACTTAGGGACCATCTGTAGCTGAGGGGATGTCCCAGGTATATATAGATACGTACCTTCCCGGAGATTTGGATTTGGCATTCACGAAACTTCGACTAGGGTATAATCACGGCCATGGCCGTCGTACCCCAATAAACGAGATGCACGTCTAGTGTATGTTAACAGTTACCAGCTAGTAATAATCCATGATAAACCCCTTTCTCAAACTCGACATGCTGATAACGTTGCCAAGGTCGATCCACGGAATATGATTACACTATGTGCCTTGAGGTAGTGACTGATACCTGAAATAAAACATCTATAATGCTTGATCCTCCGCCTGCGCTATAGTCTATACCCCCGTCACTTTCTCGAGATACTCTGTGCCACGAAATCAATCCGACACAACTCAAATATAGAGTAAAAAAACGAACCTCGCGTAAGTTCGAAAGCAGCAAAAGTGCTTGCCGCGGCAGGGATGCTAAGCCCAAGGGTTAGATATTACGCCCAATCACATATTAATCCAGCACCGACCTTCTGAGGACTACGGGCAACCAGTGAATAAATTATACAATAGTGAATAATGAGCAAACTCACGCGACGGCGATAGTCCACGAAAGAGGCCCGCGCTAAATGAGCCAATAAAGAAAAGTGTTGCTAAGGACGACAAACAATAACCCACCTCCCAGATTCAGCCAGGATCATCTTAATTTCTCTGAAAATATACTGCACAGGCGTCCCAGTAGGTGGGGTTGCGCGGAGTTGGATCCGAGATTTAACAACATCTGTGGAGAGCTAATGGGTACGTGGAAATAAGAATTCGGAGCGATTACCAAGTGGATAACATGAAAGCCAATATGCGATCTATGATTGAGTGAGAAAGCTGGCAATAGGACTACGCATGTGAATGGTTCTTACCCCGCCCGTTGAACCACTTGCAAGAATCGCCCAGACGGGTATATTGGTCCCATACTTGGCGCCAAATGGCGCTTGGAAAATTCGAATGCTAGGCACTAGCGTCATAATGGGTACATCAACCAATGAAGAGCTCTCATTTACCTGTATAGAACCTGGTCCCAACAGGTTTAGTCATAGAATCACGGCTGTAAGGCGAACGTACCCAGCATACGCCGGAATTTCCCGCGCTACTGTTACCTTTTCTCTTCATCAGCATACGATTCGCATTTGTGAAGTTTTTTGGTGAATTAGGCCTCACCCAATATCCCCGCATGACACCTTTCCGGAGACCCCACTGCGACCACATTTCTCTCGCGACTGTTCTCAGGCGCTTGTCGGTAGCAGCACCATACTGCCCTTGCATCCGCACCTTGAACATCTCCACTATATCGGACATTGGTCAGTTGTTCTACCTTTAAAAATGAATACATAGTACCAGGGCTTGCGAGGATGGCATTCGCCGCACCAGCCATGGCGCCTGCAAGCGCAATCTCTTTGAGGGACAGGTGGGGATATGGCGAAATGATCCTGCGTGATATCCCGTAGGAGGCGAACAAAAGCGAATTGACGCCTGCGATACCGAGAAGGGGGCTAGCCATTCCTAGATGTAAATTATCGCCCACAGTTTGATTTATACAATAAGATGAGAACCTTTGTAGAGTGCAAAGAACCCTTCCTTCCGTAGCGTCTGCGACAAGATATCCATAGGTCCTTTCTATATCACATAGCAGTGAGATTGCAAACCACCCATAGAAGATGGAAACTCACAAACATGCCCTCTAGATTCATGAATCAAGACCTCATTGTTAGAAAATTGTTGTGTATTAGGTATACCATCAGATACATACTGGGTGCAATTTGCGCACGCGTCTTGATGGTGTCCAGCGGTTGGCCAACCAGAACTTGCGCAGCGCCCCCAACACTTCCTGCGAGAAGCTCGTTTATAGTTTTCGTGGACATTGTGTAGGCAGTGAATGAAGTAGGGGAGGTCACATCCCTGACAGTCGACAAATCCGCGCGACCCACACAATGACGCGATTGCGGTTGGTTCGCATGACAAATATTTGGCACGCACACCTGCGACAAACAATTACTACCTTGAAGTTCAGCTTTGTGATGCTCTCGCTTCACATTTTGAATGTTCGATATTCTGATTATTGTATTTCAGTTCTTGCCCAGAAGAGCAGACGCGGAACGCGCAAAACCTATTTTCACTCATAGCTTGTTGCTGAAAACATTTCAGAGTACATACCCTTCACATCAAATCAAGTTATCACTCGAGTGAAATTGTGAAAATCCGTAAGCATTTCCCGAAAAATACATCAAGTACCGACGGAACCGTCAATTTGGTATATCTCATTCACATCCATAAGAGACCCAGAACTACCGGCCTGAATAGAGTTATATACATCCCAATCCCCTCCATATGTGATATTGAGACCCTCGGCACGAAACGATGGAATTGGGGAAGCTGACTGGTAGGCTGGCTGGGTAGGATAGAACACTTCAAGGTCAAGTTCTCGAGCAAGGCGATCCCGCCATTTGATGGACGATTAGTGTTGCGCCGTGATGCGATGACGCCGTCCAGGAGCTCCTCGGAGAATGTAGGAAGCCCCCTGAAGGAGAGGGAGCAAAGGTAGGGGAGGATATACCCGGGGAAATGGACATTCAAGGTGGACAAAAGTTCATCCAAGTCTATTTCAAGCGAACCTGACTCGAACCCATAGTGGATGTCAAGGGAAACCAAGGATGGCGTGAATGCAAGGCACGCAACGAGATCATCCGGGGAGACTGGGATATTGGTGAGGCATAATGTGCTGAGGTGTTTGCAGGATCGTTCAAAAAATCTAGATATATCACTGAGCACTAAATCCGGTGGATCGTCAATATCATCATCGACCCAGGCTGAATCGAAATCAATGTCGAGAGTCCGAAGGGACGGAAGTGTGATCGAGGAGAAGAATGAGTTGATGCTGGGGTCCGCTAAGCTCCAACCTATGACCAGGGTCTCAAGTCCCGTGTGGCAGCTGTGGGGATCTCTCGGCGTTGACAACCAGGGAGTGTATACTAACTC